CCCCATGTTTTTTTATTTCGTCTCGAGGTTCACGGCGGCATTCTCGGCCTTGTCAGACCGCCTTCGTTTTTCCAAGTACTCGCCCCCACCCATGCCTCATGCGTGTCGGGGAAGGCGAAGCCCGGCCATGTGTTTTCAGGTCTGATGGGCGAAGTATGATGCCACAAACTTCACAGTGCCAACGGGTATCCTCTGTAGCGGTTATCCTATATACTCGCATGATCACCAAAACACCTCCCCGGACATTCCTGGTTGCCTCACCCGAAATTACTGGTCGTACATATCGTTTTCGCGCAGTCTCCACCACCTCTGCACCATTCCCTTTCTTGGTTTCGACTTTGGTCGACGGTTGGACGCGCGGATCGATTCATGTAGGTTAAGGTTAGGGTGGGCGGAAAATTTGACCTTCTTGTTTGCTACTTTCCCTACACACATGCAGCCTAGGTTACACGTGCCGCCAAAACACGACGTTAGTCATGGCTACAAGCTCGGTTCCGACACCAGGGATGTTCCTCCGCGCACTTCATGCGTGTTACAGGTCGGACCGGGAGCAAACTTAATCCTCGCCGAGAGAGCCGCACGTACCGCGCACATTCGCACACGGTCAGTGCGCGGGGATCTACTCAGCGCGTCAGCGCAACAGTCAACCGTCGACCTCTCTGACATCGGACAACTTCAAGAATCTCACTACCTACCCGACCAAGCTCGGATGTGGCTGACGGACGATTTCGTTCCAGCTCACCTGCAGACCTCGTTCGAGTTCTGGCGAAACGAAATTTTGCAAGACACCCGTGTTGGGGATCGCAACGCCCTATTGGGGTGGGTAGAAAGAGTCAACGTTCACGACTTCGTAGAGAACAAGGCGACAGGCATTTTTCAAGGTGGATCGTACAACGGCGCTGACCTTACCTCGGTACACCTGCCGAACAACGTTCCCGACGAACACGTACCATGGGTCACGAGTGAAATAGCCAAGCTCGCGGCGGCTGGCTGGGTTACAAGGTGGTAAGATGTCGCCGACGTTAGCGTGCACACCAAACCGCAGATGGTGCTTCCGTTGGGTGTCGAACCCAAGAAGCCCCGGTTGATATGGAACGCGAGATGGTTCAATCTCATGCGCCATCATCGCCCTTTCAGCATGGATGGCGTAGGCAAAGTGGCTCAGTGCGTTTTGGCAGGAGCTCATCAAGTCAGTATTGACCATAAAACTGGATACCACCACGTTGCCCTAGACAAAGGTTCCTGGCAATACTCTGGTTTCGAAAGGGAAGGTGAGGTATTCGTGTTTACAGTGCTCGTGTTCGGGTGGTGTTCAGCCCCGTTCATACACGCTTCCCATTCCGAAGCAGTAGCTCGATACTTGAGAGCACGAGACATCCCCGTGCTTACATGGATCGATGATTTCTATCTGAAAAATGTTCGGTCGGCTAGCAGACTTAGCCATGACTAGCAGCGGAAAGCGGCTCAGACGACCGCGTATGTCTTTCGAAGTTTTCTGCAGAGCGGGGTACTTCATTTCGTTGAAGAAGTGTGAGCTCATCCCTACGACGCGCCTAGTTTTGCTTGGGACTATCTGTGATTCCGATCAGCAGTGTTTCGAGGTCCCGGAGGACAAACTCTCCAAGCTCGAGACGATTCTCGTCGACGCTATTATGTCTGAGTTCATATCCTTTCAGATGTTAGAGAAGCTCGCAGGCAAATGCACTAGTCTCTTGGTGGTGGTTCCGGTGGCGGCTCTTTACACGCACCATATATATAGGAGCATAGCAGCTTTTCAGAGACGCGGCGGTCGCACGCCCAGCATGGAGATAGAGATCCTGGCGAACAGCGGTCTTGTATTCGAGCTGCCACGTTGGCGAGAGGTTCGTAAGCGTTTTAACGGGGCATCGTGGTATCGTGCTGAACATAGGCAATTAGCTCTTACCGGAGCATCTGATGCTTCCTCCGGCGGGTGGGGGGGGCTCATTCGGAGTCCAGGCCAACCCGTTTTCAAAGCTGGCGGAGATTTCCCGCCACAGGTCGTGCAGCAGCATATCAGTGTGCAGGAAGGGTATGCTCTTCACTCGACTCTGCACCTGTTTTCAGATAGCCAGCCTTCTCAGCTGGCCGGGTCCACGCTCGTTTCCAGTGTAGACAGCAAGGTCTTCAACGACGCATTAAACGACGCATTTAAGAGGGGGCGAGCCTCCAACACTTTCATGCATGAGGTTATTAGAGATCTGTTATGGTTGCAAGCAAGTGCGACGCGATTTCACGCTAAAGTTGAAGTGGGTGAGCTCCGAGGCTAGTGCTGAGGCCGACGGCATTTCTAGACCAGGGTCGGACGATTTTGTGATATTAGACGAACAGATGTTCGGCGAACTGTGCACGTGGGCCGGAGAGCATGTTACCATAGATTTAATCGCCACACCTGCCTCGGTTCACAAGAGATGGGTGGCTGGGCGCTGCACTAGCGAGGACTTGCCATTTTATTCTAGATATCATTCAGGGATGTGCCGGGGTTGACGTGCTCACACACACAATGTTCGGTTCATGCCTGGTTCAAAGACCGAGGAGTGTTTCGGCTTCTGTTTTCCCCCAACCAGTATGGTCGGCGTGTTTCTTCAACACTTAGAGGAGTGTCAAGCAGTACTGGTTTCCGAGGATAGCAAGCGCGACTACGCGGTCGCGAACGTTGTCAACTAGCAGCGGGGGTGAGTCACACCCTTTTTCCGGGTACATCACCAGAAAGGGTCCGAGCGTTTTCATTTCAAACGGTCGAGAATGCTAGCAGTAGTAGTGGATTTCACGCGACATTAAAAGTAATAGACTACTTATTCCGTTTCCCTTCCCAACATGTCGTGTTCATGTTCGGTGGTTGTGGGACAACACATTTTGCCAGGCTCTCCAGACTGTGTTCACAGGTCTTGGCCTCGTCGTGAGCGTCTTAGGGGCGATTCGCAAGCGAGGTCGTGTCGAACAGGCGAAGCTTTCTCCTTCCTCGCTCGTAAAAGTGTCGGCGTCAAGGGCACGGATTCTATGCCCGAAGTGCCACAGTGAGAACGATGATTCGTTTTGGTTATGTCAATGGGTCGGATACTCGTTGGCTCAACGCCAAACTCAGACGACACCTATTCTTCAAGTAGACGAAGAGGCTATTTCGAAGCGATACCAACAATTTCAGACCGCATGGGCGGAAAACGCACCTGCGCGCACCCGGTCGGCCACATGGGCTTTGTTCAGCAATTTCCTAGCATCTCGAAGAAACGGATCTGTTTGCATTGAAAATGCACGACCGAAAGATGTGGTAGAGTTTCTGTGCTGGTTAGACTCCTGCGGTACGATAAGACGTACGGTTGTGCATGCTCGACACTGCGAAGCGGTGGGCACAAAAGACTTCACGGCCTGTTGAACGGACAAAAGATACTGTAACCTTAGATATGCATTTGACTCACTCCGAACAAAGCATGTCTCCAAGTAACCCATGGTGTTCGAGAAGGAAGTGGGGTTGATGACGCCGTGTAGTATGACCATGCGGGTCGGTAACCCGGTGAAGAGCGAACTAGTTGCTCAATATATGGCGTTCACCACGAGTGAGCAAAAGCAGGCGGGAGTATTGGTGCAGCAAGCACCGGTGATTCTTCGAAGCCATCTGGAAAAGGTCATTCTTCCAATGCAGATCAGGCTTCAGTACGCCTCGTCGGACGTCGAACGGGTCACGTTAGCTAGGGACATTGTGTTCTTTTCGGTAGCTTTTAGCACGACCAAGCGAGGGGTGGAGCTTACCAATATCCTCATTCAGCGCATTTTGCGGCTTCCATATCGGAGCGGTCTCATGTGCAACTTTCAATCGGGGAAGACCCAGCGACATGGAACAGATCATATCCTAACCGTACCGTATGACGAGGAATACGTGGCGATCTGCCCAGTTCGAGCCGTAGAGCGGTTGGTCGCAGTGGGAAAACTGGTCGGATGAGGCACAACATCAGGGTACCTTTTTCCGGACATTTCGGAGTCTCGGCAAGGTCGAGCGCAGAGAGGCAGAGTGCCGGTGACTACTAGCAAGATGTCTGAAGCGCTGAGACGATACATTACGGAGGTAGGGGAGACCCAATGGTTTTCCTTACACTCCTTTACGTCGGGAGGGGCGGTTTGCAGAGCCCTCACGGGGGACGCTCCGTCGACTATCATGCAGAAGGCGTATTGGAAAGACCCGAAGACGGCGTGGCGATATATGAGGCTCATGGAGGTGGTAGCTCCAGGATCGGAGGGTACAGCTATGGTACAGCTATGGTCGAAGGGGTTTCAGAGGACCATTATAGCCAGCTGAATTGAGTTCGGTTTGAGTAAGCAGAGCCCGTCGTTGGCAGCGTTCAGCAATAAGCCTCTGCTATAGATGGTCTCATTTTTTAATAGTTCATGTGCCGTATTTCATCCAAGATCTCAATACCTCCACATTCATCGGTTAGTTAGTGAAGTATGGGATGAGAAAACTCATCTCGATTGAGTGCGTTTCCTAAGTAAGGGAGAAGTGGACACACCGACCGCGGGAGGTGATGCCACTGTTCGCATCCCATACCATCTGAGGAGAAGAACTGACTCGAAAATACATTCGTCGCCGATGGAAATAAATTAATTTAGATGTTTGTTTCAGAAAACGTTTCTCCTCGCCATCATGATACATATACCTGGCATATACTCACAGGATGGTCGTCGTGACGTGATACATTTCTTACTGAAATAAGCAAACATATTTTGAGATAAGAAAGTTTCCTGGAAACTTTCTGCAGGCGAATATTTTCCGATTGAAGGCCCGCAGACTGGGGCGAATGTGATTGGCCGGGGAGGACAGTGTCCTGACAGTCCCCCTCATTCCGTGGGTGCCTGCTGCGTTGCTGCGGGAACAGCTGGCTCCTGACAGAGCGCTCTGCAGCGCTCCCACTGTTGAGTGTGTGGGCGAAGCTACCATGTCCCGTCTACGTATTCGCGAACGAATCGCGCGCAAAAAGCGTGCTTCGGTCATGCTTCGATGCCGTAATCTATTCGAAGCCTACACCGATGTATGGTTCGTGTACAACATCGCTTTCATCTACGCGATGGCCTGTCTGGAACTCGACGACACGCCCACGAGTATCGCACGTAGGGACGTGACAGCATTCTTTAGCCCACAGGACTGCGTCACCTTTCTACGTTTCACGCAATCGCAAGTGAGTGCATGTGGCAGCTAAATATATCGTTGCTGTAGCTCGGAGATGTGTACTCCGGCTATCAGCAACAGCAGTGTCAGCATCGTACAACAGCAGCAGCAGCATGTCAGCACCCCGTGGGTCGCGGGGGGTTAGCCGTCCTGGGTGCGTCAAACCTGTGCTATGTTAGACCCACAAGCCAACGGAGAGGTGTGTACTGGAGTAACAAGCAACACATCGTTCTTTGGTTTCCTGTGTGGTGTTGACGTGATGCAGGTGATGCTGATGCTGGATCTGCTGTTGATCCCCGTGTTCATCCGAACTGACTGTGGGTTCGTGGTAAGCGGACGGGAGGCTCTGTGCGTGCTCCTGTATCGGCTCGCTTTCCCGTGCCGCCTGAAGGACGTGCGCTTGGTTTTCGGGATGAGCGAATCGTGTATCTGCGAAGCCTTCAACTGGATGTTGCATTTTCTAGACTTCAGGTGGGGGTATCTGCTGTCCCTCGACGTGGCACACCTGCAGCCGCACCTGATCGAGTTCGCGGAAGCAATCTTCAACTCCGGCTGTCCTCTCACGCACTGTTGGGGATTTATCGATGGCACCGTGCGCGGCATTGCAAGGTGAAGTCCGACTAAACGGATTCTGGCGTTTTGGTACATACACCACAGACAGTAGCGTGATTCCCCCTTGCCCGTGGATTGCTTTATCCACCGCGTATCCAAAGCAGCATGAGCAGGCCATCTTGTACCTTCGTCGAGTTTTGCGACGCACTCACTAGACCATTTGTTGATTTGTGTGGAACTGTGGTGTGGTTGCGCGTGCACATGATTGATTGCAATTTACCACGAGGTTGCAACACGCGATGAAGTTTTAGCAGAACGATTAAATACAGCAGCACTGTTGGGTGTATTTCTTGGCCTGTGTTGGTTGGTGGCCCATCCTTCCGTACGCCCAAAACTGATTCGCAGGCCGAAGTACTGGCAGCGCCTGTTCTACAATGGGCACAAGAGGAAGCACGCCATGAAGTTCCAAGGGGTAATTACACCAGACGGGCTATTTTGTGGATATGTGGGGCCCGGTGCCGGGCACACGTCATGACAGCTTTATTCTAGCGCAGTCTGGGTTGATGGAGAAGTTGTCGATGCGAAACAGCCCTACAGGCCATCCGTACTGTTTGTACGGAGATCCGGCGTATGGACTGAGCAACCACCTTGTCTGTGCTTTTAGCGCATCTAGTGTCTGCCCTCTCACGCCAGAGATGGCCGAGTTCAACAAGCCTATAAGCCATTGCCGCGTAACGGTGGAGTGGGGATTCAAAGAGATGACCGGCAAGTGGGCCTTTGTGAACATGAAGCCGCAGCAGAAATTCTTGCTGAGCCCTGTCGCCAAGCATTACCAGGTAGCCACTCTGCTTTCCAACTGGCGCTCATGCATGAACGGGGGCAACGAGATTTCGCAATACTTTGGCGTAGTGCCACCCACTTTCGAGAGTTACGTAGCGGTGTAAGTGCAAGATGCACCCACGTGTGTGAGCATTTTATCCATCTTCGGTGTTCCAGGCGTAAACCAACACAAACAGCCGTTTGCTGGCGTGAGAAAGTCGCGCGCGATAGACTTTTTCCAATTTTATGTGCTACGAGTGATCAGAGACAAGATTATTATCCCTCCTTGGTCGTGTATGTGGGCAAACGCGGGCGGATGCAGAGGACGAGCACGGACGGTGTATGTGTATCGTGCGGGTGTAAGCATTGCGTAACAACCGGCACCCGCGTTTATTGGGCACCGTTAGTTTGGGGGGTTTAACAATCAACTTTCTTGGATTTAAATTGTTCGGTGTGAAGACGTCGTCTCCTCCTTGCTGGTTATTAATTATGTGGGCAAACGCGGGCGGGTGCATAGGGGAAGTACGGAATGTATCGTGCGGGTGAAGCACTGCGCAAAAGACAGACGCCACGTTTTGTTGAATGCCAGTTTCATTTTTTAAATGTTCCTCCTGAAAAAACTCTTGCCCGAACAGGCAACCCCCCCCCCCGAAAAATACGCGCGAGGCGCAACGGATGCCACGTTGTTTCTTGGAAGAGCCGGCTGTTGAAAAAAAACACACACACATGCAACGCATGCCCTAGCAACTGCAGCAGCAGCAAGGGCGAAAACCCATTCCCAATTTTCCCTACCCCGAACAGGGAAGCCCCCCCGAAAAAAACGCGCAAGGCGCAACGGATGCCACGATATTTTTTTGAAGAGCCTGCTGTTGAAAAAAACACATGCAACGCATGCCCTAGCAACTGCAGCAACACAACCCCAACCTGGCTAGTTGTTGTTCCCCTTCGCCTTCGCCAGGTCCACCTGCAGTTGCATCATCTTGATTTGGTGATCGCGATCTGCCTTTTGATCTGCCCGTGCAGCCGCCCTCTCCTCTTCACGCTCTTGTCTGTCGTGTTTCCTTTCATCCTCCCGCATGGCCCTCTCGTGGGCCATCATGTCCACGAGCTCTTGCCTCCTCCCTAGTTCTCGTTTATTTTCCGCCGCCCGCCTCCTCTCGTCCTCTTCATGTTTCTGATCGGCGAGTTTCTGAGCTTGAGCCACCTGTCGCTCCATGAAGCTGGGACACGTGGCACAATCGCGCAAGAGAGGCACCAGGGTAGGGTAAGTTCTGGCACCTCCCTGATGGAGTAGCCAACAATAATACTTCTCTGGTATAGGTTACGTCCACCAAAATAATCTGACGATAATGCACGGCGTCTACCGCACGAAGGAGTTGCCAGAACCAAGACATGGACAGAGTCGACGAACAGCCTTACCTATCTAGCCCCTCCTCGGCGAGCTTATTGGTCTTGGCACGGGTCTTCCTTCCACGGTTTCCCGAAGCCCTACTCGCCGCCCGTGAAGGGTCCATGCCTGACATGGCGCGCGCACCCCTAGCTGCTGTAGAACCGGAGATGGATGTCTGACCGGCGGCGGACAGCCCGGAGTTCGTCACGCCGGCGCCGAGCACCAACAACCTCGCCACCCGCTTCGTAACCTGAACCTTGCCCGGCGTCACACGTTCTACGGGCCTTCCGCAGTGAAACCAATTCGAATCCGGCAGGCTGCGGAAGCCCCTCTTTCCCACGCCGTAAAGATCGAGCAGATCAAACATGACCGACTCGTTGACACCGTCAACTCCGGGCAGCTGCGCATCCTCGTCATCACCTAGCTCATCAACGTAATCCTCGACGCTGTGTCCGTCGCGCTGTAGAGTAGGCCGTTTGTCGAGTAAAACCGTCATCATCGCCACGGTCCTTTCCGTCTGAACTTCGTCAGCCGTGAAGCCCGCCTTGAGGAAGTAGTCCGCCTCCTCCGTGGTGACACCGGCACTTTGCGCAAGCGTCGGAATGCTCAGCGACCCCATGTGCGTCACCAATCCACCAAGCGGCGGAACCTTCCTCGATGACCCGCTCCCCGCGGGCGATGAGTCGTCGTCTATCCCACCCGTACTCATGGTCGGGCTCGATCGACCGCTGTTTTGGCCACCCGCCGAAGCCTCCGACGCGGGCCTCGCCCCCCCGATGCTGCTGACCGGACTCACCCGACCGCTGGCACGGCCACCGGCCGCTGCACCGGAGCGGGAACCCCACGCGATGTTGTCGGCGGCGACAGCTTCTTGGACTGATGTAGCCTTCGCGCCCGGCCCGCAACGGGCGTTGCCCTGGTTGATGGCCCACGTCCCCATCGCGGAGTGCGAGGCCGCCTCGTCGGCTTTCTTTTGCTTGGTCTCCTCCAAGTCCAGCCTCGCGGCAGTCCACGCGTCTTACTTTAGAGGTCGGCGTGGGTAGTTCCCAGGTCGCGGTGCTCGTCGGTCTTGTTGAGGATCTCGTTGATGGTCTGGTCCCACAGGCGGCGGGCGCACTGGTAGTACAGCGGCGGGGAGTCTCAATACTTGATGATCAGGTCGTCCTCGATGATCTCGCCCGTGCACCCGTCGGCCAGGTATTCCTCGTTAGTCGCTGCGTCGGGACACCTTTGCAGTGGATATCGGATGAGTGACAGGGAAAAATATAAGGAAAAAAATTCACATGGTTTTACCATTATGAAAAAATGATATTTTTATTCATGACGTCGACGGTTGAACTCGGTGCACTGACAGGGGAAAATATAAGGAACATGTGTCACATGGTCTCCCCATACTAAAAAATGTACATTTTTTATGACGTCGGCCGGTGAACACGGTGTACTTTTGTGACATATGGATGGGTAACTAATTTACAGCAACAGTCGGATGCATCCGCGCACCCATATCTAGGTAACTACGCACCCACACGACTCGTCACTACACAATCACGTTCCGATGTAAACGGGTGTACACATGATTTACCCCGATAATGCTGGCGGGGGCGACGGTGACGTGCATGAACTTCTTGCCGTCCGAAGACTTGGCACCAGCGCAAAGACGCCACACCGCGTGGATAATATTCCACTCTGACAATAACAGCAAGCAAAAAGGGCATTGTTGTGGAGAGATTTAGCGGTAGCGGTTGCGATGCAGTTTCATGCCAGGCCTTCATGCAACACCTGAACAACATTCAGGCACACATCAGGCGGAAACTACTTGATACGATCAAAGAGAGAACTTTCTTTTACCTTTGTAGCCGCGGCTGTTGACCTGGTCGGTTGGGATCCCGAGCGAAGGAGTACCTCCCATCCGGGCGAGGCAGAGCTGGCACGGCTTGTGGTACGTTGTCGACGGGGTGAGGATGGTGCAGGATACGCTGCAACTATCCGCGTCGCGGTTGTTGGTACGGTCGCAAGGGGCAAACTTGCCTTTACCGTCGCGCTTGTTTATGAGCTTGAGGTGACCGCCGTCGCAGTCGGGCCCGGGGCAAGGCCAGTTGGGGTCGCCCTGTTGTACAGGGCGGCGGTACACTCCACTACGACTCTCTAACTGGGTGGGACTTACGCTTTGCTGGGGAGCTACGGGAGAGGGCGTTCATGTTGTGTTGCAGCTGAAGGTCGACGCGGGAATGAGAGGAGAGGATGTCGAAGAAAGTGAGAGTGACCGGGATGTGCACTTTTCATTCACTCTGCATTGACTAACTTCTGACTAACATCCAGCAGATATTCTAACTTCTGACACACCTCCAGCAGTTATCCCATGAAATGTGCACTCTTTCATTTCTGCATAGATTATCTTCTGACTAAACTTCCAACAATTATTCTAACTTCCGACTATTGTAACTAACTTCCACCAATCATTCCATGAAACGGTGTGATATCACGAAAAGTTGATATCTGTATATATACATACGATGTAGCGCAGTCTACAGCGGCACCTTCAATACAACAACAGCAGTACAACAATAACAGCAGTGTTCACATCAGTATTACAGAAGACATATGCCTACATCCTTGCAGCACTTGCAGCAATTGATGATGCCGTGAGATTTGCGTGCATGTTCAAGGTCAAAACAGAGCAAGTTAAGCCTAAAGTTGGTTGTGGCGTACCACAACAACAACAACGATCAATCTACATTTGTCAAACCTTCCTTGCTACATACAGCTGCAGAATATTAGGAACAATAAAAACTTTATTTTGTTTTCTTTCGAATTGCTTCATTATTTCTTCGGTTTCTAGGCTACGTGTTGGGGAGAGAGACGCACGAAACGCTCATCGTCTCTCCGGCCGCGTTAGCTGCAAAGGCCGGCGTCAACTCTTACAAATCCATCTCTCTCCCCACAAATACTAGCCGGGGGACTACGACTGCAAACGCAGGAGTCCCAAAACTGACCAAGTCCTCAAATGGTACACACCATTCTACAACACCTGACTAGATACCGAATATTCCCGAACTTATGCCCCCACCTTCGAAAGAAAAGGGATGGGAGGGCGGGATTTTCTAAACTCCCGCCGCTACTGCGTTTAGGCGGCTGCTGCTGTTCCTTCCGTTGCTTCACGCGCTCTGTAGCTGTCACACGTTACCCGACTTTGCTACAGCCCCTGCGTGGACTCGATCACGGGAATGACACCCCCAACTATAGACTAATAATTCCAAACACCGTGACCCTGGGTTTCCGGTAGAAAATGAAGCCAAATTCTAATTTCGACTGTTACAAAATAAACACCAGTTTATTCTATCTGCTTCGACGAACAAACCTTCCTTTTATTTTGTTTTCTTTCGAATTGCTTCATTATTTCTTCGGTTTCTAGGCTACGTGTGGGGGAGAGAGACGCACGAAACGCTCATCGTCTCTCCGGCCGCGTTAGCTGCAAAGGCCGGCGTCAACTCTTACAAATCCATCTCTCTCCCCACAAATACTAGCCGGGGGACTACGACTGCAAACGCAGGAGTCCCAAAACTGACCAAGTCCTCAAATGGTACACACCATTCTACAACACCCACATCGAGGTCAGTTTCTGGACGACTACCGAATAAGTCAACTATCCGTTCCCCCAGACGGTCCCCTCCCCCGGCTGTCTCGATACGATCCTACTGCCGTCTGTAAGTTTCCGTGACACTCACCGCGAATCCTCTACATTGTTTCGCGCGTACGGCTTGTATGCATCCGACCTCCACTTCCCTTCTCTCTGAATCACTCGTTCTGCGATGTCTCCGCCCGATGCAAGAGCCGTCGCGCCTCCAATTCGCAACGAGTGCAACGCGTACTCCTGGGGGTTACGCCCCGACCTCGCTACCACTTCTCTGAGTGCACGGAGGGCAGCAGTATACCTCACTACTCTCACTGCTCTTCCACTACGGTACGAAGCCAACGGTGCGGAGTCAGGGAACGTCGCATGACACGATAACAGCTCCACCACAAGAGCCACCGCGCCACCGCGTGCTCTCACACCTGACTGCGGTCCGGTGACTTCGTCTCGCGTACGAACCCGTATGTTTCCTTTCTGCTCTTGATCGGCCTTGTGCCCTCTAAACCTCATTTCGACACGGTCTGCTCTACGATAGTGACTAAAGACTAATTGCGTCTCGCCAGCAAACAATGCTACGTCCGCCCTCGTAAGACAGTGTGCCTCATGCACCCTGCCCGCATCATTCGCGAACACCTCATCAGACCGTGTGATAAAGAGATAGGACAAGCACAGACACAGCCACATCACTCTGCCCCCTTCCCCCCAGTTCTGGCTTGCGCTTTCCCCGTCCAGCAGCATACGCCAAGACACAGGCAGGCGCACACGGCGTACCGTCCCCACAGCCACGTGGTTCCTCGCAATCCCCCTTAGCGCACATTTCAACATCGGAGACGACAAGTCTAGCTCGACAGAAGCTTCCAGCCTATGAAAATGTTGTACAGCCGTGAGTTTTCCGGATATTGTACTCGCTAGATTACCCTCAGACTCGAAACACCAGGCTACGAAGTCTATCAACTCCCACACATGAAGGTCCCCGGCACGTTGCCCTAGGAACTTGGGCTTCTCCGTCAGCCTGCGAAACGTGCACCAAGAGTTGAAGCCTGACGTGTAAGTCCTTCTAGACGAAGACGCAACTGAGTGCTCGACGAGCTGCATGCCAAGACGTCGGTAACAAAGTCCCGTCCTGCCTGTCCCAGGTCCTGAACCTGCTGATAGCCCTGGAGCCAACCTCGTGTAGACCGGCGTGCTGCCGTTCGATTTAGCCGCAGGTGCGCTGCCATCCGAGGTAGGCCCCCCCGCTACGCGGGAGAGCCCGCACCCCTATTTGTCTTTCCCGTGGGTGAAGAAGCCAGCGGCCTTGGGTCTCGCGCCGCCCTCGCCAGCGGCGCGCGCCTCTCCTCCGCGCCCTCCCCCGTTGCCGTGGCCAACGCCGCGCGCGCCGGTTGCCGGAGTTTCGGACGCTCCGCGCCTAGCGTGGGAAGGGTTCTGGGCGTGGATGTGTGGGCAGTTACGATCATGGCAACCGGACGACGAGTTGAAGGCGAAGCAGTAACCACGAGCGTGTCGAGCGATGCCGCCACTTTCTCTGTCACCAGGACGCCTTTGCGAAGCAAGGATTGCCACTCCATCTGCGACAGTTTTGAAACTGCCGGGGGCCGCCCCAGGATGAGCCACGCTTTTACCCGGCGGAGGTCCCCCCACATCCGCGCTCTATCCTTTGCCGTAGCCTTAGCCGCCTCGGCGCTGGGTGTAGCGGGGGCCCGAGAGGCCGATGGTGGGGCGGTTGTGCCCACAAGTTGCACCCCCCCCCGGAAGGCCAGGTCCTGCTGCTTGGGTGGCGATCATGTCGTCGATCGTTGCTTGAAGCTGCTGGCGATCACCGGCAGCCTCATCGCGCTTCCGCTGCAGCTCCTCCCTCAGGCCGTCCACCAGCCCGCGGAGAGAAGCGAGCTCAGTCTCATCAGCGGGGGGGTCGCCGCGGGTGCCTGTCCCTGGCGCTCGCGAGGAGGATACCGCTCGACGCCTCGCGGGAGTACGTGATCCGCTGCGCGTCGAGGGGCGAGCCGTCGAGCTCGCCACCGATCGCGCGGTAGACCTCTCGTGCGTGGTGTCGAAGGTGTCGCCGCCCGACCTCGCCCTGCTTGCCCAGCCGCTGCCCTGCCGCTCCGCGTGGAGGCCCGTGTCGGCATCTGGTCGCGGTTGGAGTCGTATAAGCAGCGGACCGGCGGCAGGCGGCGGGCGAGCGTCAGGGCGGCGTTGCGGGAACACTTCTTTTCCTCTTCATCGTGGGCGTAGTCGATCGCGCGCCTGGATCTGCAGTTAGAATGGTCTACAAATCCTATCTTCGGGCGAAACTATCTGACGTGGGT